AAGCACATGGTCTGCCCCCACAGCTGGGAGCCCCATCACCTGAAGGGGCTCCCAGCTGTGGGAGTTTGCTACTTGCTGGTGCAGGGTAGGGTTACCACACATCCTTCCATAGTTGTTAGGGGCTGGAAGGGACCTTACAGATTATTGGGTCCAGCCCCACTGCAGGTGGGCAGGAAAGACTGATCAAATGATCCCAGCAAAATGGAAATCAAAACATTTTTTGAAGATAGCCAGGGTGGATGACTGTACCAGTTCTGTGGGGAGCCTGTTCCAAACCCTCGGCACTTGGCTTGTAAAGAAGTTTTTCCTTATGTCTAGCCTGAAGTGATCTTCAATCAGCTTGTGCCCATTATTTCTTGTCCTCCCCTGGGGGGTCTTGGTGAATAGATGCTTTCCAAAAACATGATGTATGCCCCTGATATACTTATAGGCTCCCCCTGTGCTGGCAATGAGGTGTGATGGAATCTGATGCTTGATCCCACAATCAAACATCCTGCCATGCATGTGTTACATGGTAGGAAGTGCAATTGTGAAGACTGCACATCAGATCACGCCACGCTTTTACCTGCCTGGTCTGGTAGAGGTCTAAGAATCAGTCAGGAAGGTGGAGCAATGTCTATTTGCCTGCATGGCAGAAGGAAGTTTACTGGAAGCCAGTGAGGAAAATTTTCTTTAGTTTGTGTTTCTTTCTGCATCTCTCCTTGGAGATCCCCTTAATGACACTGTTCAGAAGATTAAAGTTCATGCCATGGGGCTTTTGATGGCCAGTGACACTGACCAAAATTCATGAGAACACACTGTCTCTGAGGAATTAATACATAAAAACAATGATGAGTTGGAGCATGGTACACATGGTGAATTGGAGTATGATCAGGGCAGTGAAAAGCCTGGTTTAAAATTAACGGAATATAAATCAAAGTAGGTGATAATCCTGAATTCCTTCCACACTGAAAAAAGATACTGAAGTTATATGTTGCAGTTGCAGCTCAGCGGTGTTCTAACATGTCTTGGCCTAGCCTGTGTGGACAGATGACTTCAAAATCCTATTCCAATTGTTAGAACAAGGTTGATTTGCTACCATATTTAATGACTGTCTCTTGGTGAATTTAATGGTATCAAATGACTTGGTGGCCTTCTAACATAACTGCTAGGCAAATGTTTGATTTATTTGTAATTTATTTTTACAAGGGGAAGTAAGAAAATGATGAATTTCTAACACTAACCTGTCGCAGCATGGCTTTAAATGCCATATGCCTTAATCTCATTGTTAGGATTTCTCCTGATCTCCCGTAAAGGAATCCCTGAAAAAGAAATGAGTATTATTTTATACCTTTGACTTTTAAAAAAAATCATTTTTAACTTCCAAGAAATTCTAATATTTATGCATCAAATACATTGATCGATTACAAACATAGCACTTATCTCTAGATGTGAATTTAACTTATACTAATAAATTATTTATAAATAATAATAACATATTTATAATAATAAAATGAAAACAATATAATGAGATGAACAATGTAGCTGCCAATTTCCCCTCCATATTTATGCCAGGATGCCTCAGTTGCCAGTCTTAAACCAACAATTAATTTAAAAAGTCAGTCATTTTTAAATGAGAGTTTACCTGTAAGAAATAAGTCAGAAAGCAAACAACACCTATCCCAGCAAATAAGATGGACAAAATGTTAGCTTCATGTTGGATCTGCACTTTGTATGAGGTACTGATATTTTTTATTTCAAAAATCTGCAGAAATGGAAGAAAAGACAAATGTTTGGTTAGCTGCCTTCATCCTAACAGACACAGAAACACGCAGACTTAGAAAAACATTTATATGAATATTTCTAAGACAAAAGTGGAAGCATAACATTTTCAAAAACACTTTAGCAATTTTAACCCACTGAAAGTCACAGGGACTCAGGCACTTAAAAAAATATACTGGTCAGTATATTTGGAAAGAAACCCAAAGAAATAAAGTTTGTTAATTCTAATAATAAAAATTGGGAAAAAATAATACTCATTCATTTTTTTTTCTTTTTTTGGTAAAACTTAGTTTAATTTAAATGGAACATTTAGAACAACAAAAAAAGTTAAAAGTAGAAGATGGTATGTTCATAGTTTTTATTATTATCAGTCTATATTATTTTGGTGGGAGGAGAAGGGCAGTTTTTTTACTGAATTATTAAAATTCTTTTTAAAATTCTTAAAAAACACTTAAATTAAACCTGTGTATTATTAGGAGCATGCACAAGTGTTTCCGTTGCTGGGGACCTTCATGCATTCTTTCCTTGCCTATTTTGTTTGGGACCATACTGAGAATGCTAGTGGTGTATCTCAGCTGCCTGGTTACTATTCACTTACCTGTGTTTGAACTTCTAGACAGTAATAATTATTACACCTACTCTCTATCTGTTAAATACTGAAAAAGCACTGAATTCAAACTTAGCAGGGATAGAAAAATATCTTGTCAGCATTCAGCTGGTAAGTACCTTTACAACAGAGGGGGGCATAACTCCCTAATGGCATCAAGAAACCTTTTTATTTGCCACTATTTCAATGGATAGAACCTTTCAAGGACATGTTCTGTCTCTGACTCTCAGGTTGCTTACAAGTGTGAAGAACTGCCCAAAGCAGAGCTTTACTTTCAGCTCAATGCACCCCCATACCAAGTGCAGCACATCCCCACAAGAGGCATTTCATTAGTTTGACCCAGTTCATCCAATGTCTATATAGATTACACACCACAGTGGGGCTTTTTGGCACTGTTGTTTAGTAGCTGATTCAATCACCTTCAGCTAAAAGCAGCAAAAAAGCCCTGCTCAAATGTCTAATCTATACAGATAGTTAGGATCTGGGTCAAACTAATGAGTTTCCTCTTCTGGTAAAGTGCTTTTTTTCCACGTTTATCAGTGTCCTCAGTTCAGAAAGATCCCTACTTGCATAAGAAAGGGATAGAAAAAATGCAGCCCACTGCTTTAAGTACAGATGCAAGGGCCAGAAACTTCTGTTTTAAACCGTACTCTAAGAATGATCTCTCCTGTGATTTCCACTTTCTTATATCTGGAAAATTGAGTAAATAGTAGTTGAACAGAATGGCTGGAGATATTTTCTCTGACATCTCTAACCCAATATATGGTGGATGCTAGGGAGACTATTGAATAGGGGATAGATCACTCTAGAGATACCCAGTTCGATGCTCTCCTTGCATAGCATCTGCTCCTGCCACTGTCAGAGATATGATACTTGGCTAGATAGATCACTGGTTTGATCCAGTATGGCACTTCCTATATTCTTATGTCATAGGGATGCTGCGGGCTCTGTAAATGGAAAAAAAGTGCTATATGAATGCTACAGGGTTTTTTGGTTTGTAGTCATGTTGGTCTAAGGATATAGGC